ATCATCGGGTGAGAAAGAATAATCCGTTAGAAGGAGCGAAAGGAATCGATGCCGGTTTTCCATCTCGGATATATTGAGCGATAAGCATTCCACAAGCCGTACCAGCAAGTAAATTAAATATTTACCTATATGCGCGAAAAATGTAGCAAAAATAAAAACAAAAGATATTCCGTTTCATCAACCAATATTTTCTCGAAAAAATTCATTTGATTGCTGACTAGTGAAATTTTGTTTATCCTTAATTTATTACGTTATAACAGTTGAAGTCCTCAATTTGACAAACATATCTCACTCTATATTATAGCAGGAAAAAAGTGGAAAAGTTCGAATTAGGTAAGATAATAAAAAGAAATTTCTCTACAATAATTCATGGTCTTTAATTAATGGTAAATTGACCTGTCAATTCTCATTTGTAAATTTGAGCTAGTTGCTAACAACGCGTATTCCAATAAAGCAATACTTGGGAGCATTAAATGGGAACTCCATGTATGTGTGCTCGTTATCGCTTCATCCACAATAATGATAATTATAATAATGACGCATTTTCACTGCATCATTTGCAGCATTTTGCGTATAAGAAATATTGAACACATATTAATATCTATATGGCTTAAGTTATTAGGGAAGTTGGAACTATGTCTTCCTTTAATAACTTTATGTATATCTATAAATGTTTTTCGAGCGCTATGAATGTTACTTTGAAAATATTCAAAATCAATCTTATCATTTCAGCAATGTGTGACAACCTGAAAATTTTTTGATAATAGCACCAAATTTGTTAACATTTCAGTTTCCTTCAATATGCCTCAGTGCAATTACAGAAAATTCTCAGTATTTAATCGGTTTAACCTACCAATACAATTTTAAATATTCAGGATAGAAAGGGTGGTCTCGAAATCTTGTATCATCACTTCTGCTACAGAAACAGGAATTGATTCGATTTCGCTTCCTGCAGCAGTGAACATTTGTGATGAAGCAGCACCATATATTGGTCCTCATTTACCACGATATCTTCACGCCGGTAACTTTAAATTATAATTATGCAATTATAACTTATTCAATCAGTAAAGAATTCAATTTTCTGATGAAATTAGCCACCACTTTAAGTAGTGATTTCTCATCCTTCTCTCAAACAGGCAGAAGAAGTGTATGTGTACGGAAATCTTGAAATTCCAATAAAAATAAATGGAAAATTTAAAGATATCCTACAACAGTCAACATACCATAATCCATGGTTTCAACCTTGGTGGTCCACAGTTCGTCCCTCAATTGCTCAACAACTAAATTTGCCGCATAGTAATGACAAAAAACAGGCAAAGAAAGTTCATGAAATAAGTAAGTTACTTTTACATTTTGTTGAAAGTTTTTCAGTTTTTCACTTTTTCCGATCGATAAAATCAGTGCACAATTAAAATTCAATATATATGTAAAATGGATCAAATTATTGTAAAGGAGGGCTATTAGAATGCTTACAAAAAGAATGATTCTAACAGAACGAGGAAACCTGTAATAAAAAATATCATTTCATAGTAACCTTTCCTCACCTTTTCTATAGCTCCACTATGGTGGAATAAACATCTCATATTACCTTTCTGATTCCTGAGAATTTAAGAATACGGTTAGTCGAAGACCATCATTTTTATCCAATTATTTTAAGGTCTTTCTTTGAAGTATATCTTTCTAACCGGAAAGCCGCCGCTCCACCTCTTTTTCTCCTATTCCTTTTCCCGTTGCCGCAAGTATGAATACAGGGAACAATGAAAATGGCAGGAAAACATTTAAGTCAGACAAGGAGGGAACCTGAACATCGTGCCATATGAGTCTGAACGAAATAGGTCGGTATTTCACAAAGGACATGGTAACTCCACTCATTCGGATAATTTTCGAGATGATTTCATTACAACATGATCAGCCATTCAGGCATTCATAACAAATATCTGAACATATGTAGTAGACAAGTAGAAAAACATGTGTCAAATAAATGACAATAATTATAATAGTCAGATTGTTATCTCCTTATCTCTTGACTTCTTATGTTTATGTTTTCGAAGAAATCATATTATTTTTGCGAAACATTAGGCCGACAAATTAACTTCCTGGTCCTCTCATACAGTTTTTTTCTCTCTTACTTTTTGCCGTTGCTCATCACCTAATTAATTCACTGGCCATTTTCTTGCGTCGTGCTTCTTTTTGTTCGACCGAGAATTTGTTATGCTGCGAAATCAATTTTCAAAGTTTTAGGTCAAGTGATTTTGCTCATTTTAAATTAATTACTTATCACCTTTTTCTCTGACTAACTACTCCGTTTAGAGTCGCTTTCTTCTGAAACCAAAATTACCTAACGTTTTTGTTATCCTGCTTTTACTTTCTTATTGAATCTATTTGTGAAAATCATTTCAAAATGACATTGCTTTCTTCGATTTACCGATTTCATTAAATTGGTTAATTTATATCATAAGATTTTTCATCCATGATCTAAAATTAGAAAAAAAAAGTGCAAATCCTTAAATGTAAATTAAAATCCTTGATTTAATTCAAATATTATTTAGTTTGTCTTGTATGAAAACTAATGCACTGCTGTTTTTAGATTAATAAACTTAACTCTTATTGTCAGCAGTCTTTCAAGGTTTTATTATTACAAAAAATGGAAGTATATTTATTAAATAGATTGCTTTCATTGCACGCTCATTACTAATTAGCTTGCCACAATTAATTTGAATATTGTTTCCTTTCTTTTTTGCTTGGCTGAACACAGTAAGAAGCGGGATATTGTGATCGATGCTGCGATGAGCCTCCCTCCTTTATTAAGAAGTGAGCCATCTTTGACGACGGATTACTCCCAGTAATCAGATAATTACCGGTCAAATACATTACTGTAATTCCAAGAAATATTATTAGTTCAATGACCACTAGACAATTGGACTTTCGATTATTTCCTACATATTATTCAAAAATAAATTTCTTTCAAGTTGTGAAATTTTGATAATGATACTCAGATTTATGCAAGCTACTTTCAATAGTATTTAGAATTATTAAAATTTGAAGTGAGACATCAAATCATAGCATTTCAATGGTGGGAAGTTATCACTGACTTGAAAATGTGTTACACAGATGTGAACCATGTTTGTATTCGTTAATGATGCGTGGAGACATTAAATTCACTGCATTACTCTTAAATTTATTGCATTCTCAATATACCGCTCTTTTTCTAACATTGTACTAATTGTCCACTTCATTTCTGACTTTTAAACAAAAGACTTTCATAATTTTCATTTCACAATCGTTTTAAAATATTTATGAGTTTGTGAGCGGAGATTTGTTGCATATCGCCTACGGAATTACCGTATTCTTTCAAAATTACTTCCATTGAATTCAAAAAAGAATTAATTTTTAGTACACAACAGTAATATAATAATGATGAGACTTATAGCAAGCAAATGACTAATTTCTATTAACACAAGTAATTCTCCTAAAAAGAGAAATCTCCTGCATTTTTTGCAACTTCAAATAACTCTCTTTGGAAGCTGCTCACAAACGTCTGTTCTGAATTACCTGCAGAAACCAAAATTTCGTTATATTGTCTGTAGAAATTAGAAATGATTTTGGTACTAACAAAAAGAATAAAAGCAATGTAATAAAGTGTTCAGTTTTGGATCATTCATTTGCAATATTTTGAGAAAATGGAGCATTCATGTTCATCAGAGCATGGACAATAATTCCTCTTATCCTTGATTCTTTTACTTCTTTTAAACTCTCATATTGCCTTATTATGCAAATTAAGGTCATTTAGGTTCATAGTTAATCCTTTCAATAGATTCGAAATGATCCCTTAACGTCGTTTGTTGAATGTTTCGGGATATTCTCAAGTTGGCATCCTTCCGTAGCGGATGGCGTTAAAGATCATTAAAGCAAGCTGCATTATGAGCACAGCCTCCAACCGTACCTCATAAACTAACCAAAATTTCAATGTTCCAAATCAATAATTATCATGGGAAGAGAGAGTTACTATTAAAATTTATTAAAGGTGTAAAGTTGAGATGCAGCCACAATGGAAATTTTGCGGTAAACGTCTTATTAGCAAGCAATTCGCTTCCATAGAATTCATTTCCGCTAGCAGTATTATTGAAACGAAGAACACATTTAAGATTGTGCAAATTCTTTTGGTATAGCTTTTAACTTCGCCTATTCCTTCTCGAATCCACTACTGAAGCCCGAAGTTTCAGCCGTTCACTGAGAGGAGAGATTTAAAAGTGAAAAGGGTTGTTATTTATCTTTAATTTGATTATGCAACATGCTATTCGCTGTTAATGTTTGCATTATTAATCCAAAAGTGTTATTATACGAGCAGTTTTAGTATCAACTTCCACGAAGGATCTCTTCCAGTTAGTATCTGCTTATTCGCAGCGGAGCAAAAACCTACAATATGAAACAATTCAGGTAATTCCAGAAGACATCAGTGTTACAGAATGTTCACCAGAAACTCGCCTGGTACGCTAATCTTTGAATTTAAAAACTGCAGCACGGTTTTACATTCTCGAACACTAGTCCTAAGTAATTTAAAACTTTTCGAAATTTTGCTGGCTATTCTATTTAAGCTTTTGGAAAATTTGAGATTTTTTAGTATGGAAATTTCCGCTAGATCTTATCCAGTGGTTTCAACATGTTGTTTGATTCTGAAAATAGGTGAGGTACAAAGAATACTTTTAATAAATACATTACATTTTACAGAGATAGGATCCTGGCAGGAACTGGTAAAAAATGTTTTAGAAACGAAAAACCATAGTCAAAAAATCGTTCGTAGTAAATTTTTTTCCTTCAAAATAATTGATGGATACTCACAAACTGTTTTATCTTAAACGGAGTTCGAATAAAGAGTATTCGGACTGCTCTAGAATGATAATTTCAATAGGATTTAGAACTTAGGATGCTTTCATTTTTCATCTTTGCGTGTGTTGGTTTTAATCTCATCTTCGCTTTTTCATATTTCGAAACAGCAATCGAATGTAACAAATAATTCGAAAGCAATGATCGATGCAGTCGGCGAAATAGGTAGTGACTGTGACGATGATAATGATGATGATGATGATGGTGATGATGATGATGTTGATGATGATGATGATGATGATGTTGATGATGATGATGACGATATTGCAATACGTGCAAGTGACGATGAAAGTACCATTTTGTTATCTGGATCTACCATCCCCCGTAAGAAAAAAACTCGAACGGTTTTCAGTCGTCAACAGGTGTCCCGACTGGAAATGACTTTCGATATGAAGCGATATTTGTCCAGTCAAGAACGTGCATATTTGGCCTCGACTTTACACCTTAGCGAAACGCAGGTAACTAAAATCTAATAATCACTGAAAGTCCCAAAATCAGCTTACAGGATTTGTCTATTGTAGGAAATTCAAAATTCTTTTCTTTCCTGATAAAAAACGGAAGACGAAGCTGTAATTTCACTGTTTCATTTTTTCGAAAATTTGGATGGTATGAATTTCTTATCATTGCCGAATTTCTTGGATTGTTACATTTCCTACAGAATAGATTACAAATTAAGTAACACTATTAATACACCTATTGTGATCATCCCAATATTTCTCATCCATTACACAGTTTATTTCCTCCTCTAGTGATATTTCAAGACTCGTTTCAAGAAATCCTCAAAGATGAAATTTAGACACCGAGGATCCAAACTTTGCACCTTCAAGTGCACAACATCAAGAAAAGACTAGCGTATTATCTGCTCGATATTGCTCATCACTGGATTTTTTGATAAGTAATAAGTAATGATCACACGCAATCTGCATTGCATTATCAGCACATTACGACAACTTGTTATCATTGATGTAATTATGATTCAAATGGTTTCAATTTAATTACGATATTGTCATAACTTAGGAGAACTTAAGTACATAGATATTATTCCGTACGTTATGCATTCTATACTTTGTATATTACTATAGCAATAGTGTGTTGTAGGTGAAAATCTGGTTTCAAAACAGGCGAAATAAGTGGAAACGTCAAGCAGCAAGTGACGTTGACAGTTCAAGCGCGATGAATATTCACCGATCACACATTTTTGCTTCAAATATGCAGCACATTAGTGATACATCAGAACGTTTTTCCGGAAATATTGCAGTCACAAATAGGTTTAATTAATTTTCTTGAATCAATTTCTGGTAGTCTCATCACAGTTTTTTTTCTTCCTTATTGCAAATAAATTTATTAGTATCGAATATTCCCTTTTCTGAACGTTCGACGTAATTATTACTCGTTTTATTCTGAACTTCCTCCCTCCCTTAAGTTACAAGTTGTACATTTTCCCAAAGTACGTCTTTACATAATACAAACGTCAAATATATTTTAGCTTGCCGATAGCGCCTCTGACAAACATCGCTCCGTCACTATTACATCCGGCAATCCTATTTCATGCAAATTCAAAGTCAACACCAGCATCCACAACAGCATCACCACAAGCAATCAATTTCAGTAGTGCAGAAAGTGCAGCGGCTGCGGCGAAACTATTCCATAGCACTTATGGCAATGCTGGCACCGGTATTGCTGGCCCAAATGCACAATTGACATGAGATGACACTACTCTAAGACAGTGACGCAGGTAATGACTAGTTTCCTCCCAGATTCCTGAAATCGTACTGCTTATCGTTTATTCTACAGCTCTTTCCGCAGCCAAGTCCAAATAATTATGTGTAAGAAATCATGCACCAGCTATGTCTCAAGCAGCACTTTTAAGCACATGCCTAAAGAGATAGGTACCAGCTCAGAAAGCACCGCTGCAGAACAACAAAACATTGTTGAATTGCTTCCCAGAAACTAGTTGATTAATGGAAAACTGTTTTTTTATCTCATTATTTTGGCGACACCAATTCAGTTTTGGAAAAACTTTCCCATTAGTTTTATGTTTTTCTGATTCTCAGTTGTTATTTATGTGATCGAATTCATGTAAGCATTCTTTTCAACGAAACACAAAAAATAAAAATAACATTGCGACTCAAACGCTATCATTGCTCTGTCACTTCACTTTCCTTGTCATTCATTTCACATAACTGGGTACCGAACTATAACAAAATTTCGATGTTCGGCATAAAAACATCTTATCATTATATTCGTCAAAAAAAAAAATGCAAAAAAAAAAAACAAACACTTCACTAATAAAAAGGGCAAATCAAAAATCAAGTAATGAAGAATGGAAGAAACCCCTCCTTAACCAAAATAAGTTATATCACACAATTAAAGAGAAGCCCAAAAAAGTACTTCACGGTAACTTATATTCAGGTCACAAACCAGAAACTCGAAAAAAGGAAATTGATTGAATTAAGCATATAATTAAGGTAAGGAATTGAATGTCTCTAGAATTAAATAACTCCTCAAGTATTATTATTTATTACCATGAATGTCCCAAGTCGGGACTTGAGAATTAAAAATAATGAACGAAAGGCAGAAAAACGATTAGCAACAGTCACACTCAATTTTCTCCACTATTCTAGATTCAGTTATCCTTGACTCCACTATCCGTTCCTCACTATCCTCGATTCAACTTCTTACTGACTTTGATAATGGTTTTCGTTTTAACTAAAAGACCAGAAGTATAAATCCGAAACTTTTAGAAAATAGAAAAAAGTTGAACTAATTACCAACTCAATAAACCAGTTTCGAAATTACTAATAATTGTTAAACAAAATTACTATAGACAAAAACAGTGAGATGAGTCGTTAATAGACAGAACTGAACTGAATTTGAAAAAAAAAATGCATTTTCTTGTGAACTAAAGCACAGATCATTCATTCTTTGCACTTTCTCATTAGTGGCAGCAATAGGAATGGTGAGAGAACAAATCAACAATTATGTAGAGTATAAAAGGAACAAGGTGAACTATGGCAAACATCTAACAAGACCTATAAAATCAAGTTGAATTGGCTGATGAACTAGGAAAGAATCACGACCTTGCAGCCCAGAGCGGATCATTTACTTCTTCAACATCACGTTCTGTACAAACCGTGATTGAAACACCTTGCATCGCAGCTTCGTCTTCGTACTGCGCCGCTAACTCAGTCATTGCTTGCTCTTCCCTGAAATTCAGAAAAAAATTAAATTTCACGAAATATATTAAAATGAATGCTGAGAGGACTGTCTAATCTCATAGCAAGGAGATAATTTCACATGAGCATCAAATCACTGAGACCGTTTTTACCACGACGTAAAATAATTCCGCTCTACAACTCTTAAAAAAAGAAGCACACTATCTTTGTCTTAGCGTTATTTCAACTGTTATTAAGCCAATTCTAGAAAAGTTCAACATCGTAACCAATCATATTAGAATGAGAGTTTGTTTCATTAAATCAAAACAAATGAAATGCTCACATGTTTATATCGGAAAGACGAAAGCATGTCTGTCGCATTGTTTCTAATTGCCGAGCCTGCTCATCTTCCATTATTTGTGCAAATGAATTCCCACATGTCACAGAGTCATCCTGAAAGAAATGGAGAGTTTATGAATATGTTCTAGAGACGTACTTTCCCTAAAAACTGAGGTCACCTCAACTTAAATATATTTATAAATGATTAGAAGGACAATTCTCGAATATTAATAGAAAGTTATTCATATGTAGGCAATTTAATCAGCTTGAAAACTGAAAAATTTCAACTAAAAACTGAAAAATCCTAATTTTTATCTCCTTCAGAAGCTAAAGCAGTTGAAAAGTTGGAAAATTTACATTTAAATTCTTAATATTTTGGGATGTTTTCAAATATCGCTAAAAATAAGATACCAGATGCCAAGAATTCGAAGTTCCTCGCTGAGGTCCACATGTATTTTCTGATGTATTGCATAGTGAAATACGATGATCCTTCTTTTCTTCATGCTTTATTTTATCAGTTTTTTCTTCTCCCCCAGCCGCAGTATCCGAAAGAGAAGCAAGCAGATGCGTTTTAGGAGTACTACTAAAACAACGAATGAGAAAAATAAACTGCTCTTTAAACGAAAGCAGGGATCACAGTTTTTTTCTGAAGATTTAAATTAGTTCAAACACACCAGTCTCGCTTCAATGTTCCTTCTTTATGAACATTTGACAAATGGGCTTTTTCGTTGAAACTGACGCTATCAATTCCTATATTTTTTGGTGACGAAGTTGACATGTGTATCCTTCCTTCCGACTCAACGTTCCTGCAAACAGTTTCCCAAACTGCAGTTCCAAGCAAGCAAAAATATTTGAAAATAACTGAGCTGAAATTTATGTAGAAAAAATAAGTGTCAGCTAACTTTTCTTGGTAGTGGCATAGATATATTTGAAGTTAATAGTTTAATATGGATTAACCTACTTTTCACAAAATTCATTTGTCGCAGTTGCAATCTATAAATATAGATATAATTATTTAGTGCAAAAAATGCTTCTAACATTTCAAAAAATAACGGAAAACGACAAATTCCATAGATATATGAGCAAAAACCTGGATGTTTGATAGCGAAGGATGCTTTTTCTTGACGTCCATGGGTTTAAATGCAGCCTTGCTGAGGAAATCTGCCATCTTAACGCAATCAACATCATTTTTCTTGTTAGTAGAGAAATCCCTCCGCGACCCATAGTTTCTCATTGTCTGCAGATCGACCGTTGCTGAAAATGCGACAAGAATAACAAGATAAACATTCTCGACACTTATCTAAATTGAAACTATATCGACAAAACTCATTGCAACTGAGCAAAAATAATGAAAATACCACTCCCTGATGATCCCATATTTTTGCGTTTTTTCTTCGGAAGTGAATCATTCTTTATAGTCTTGCAGAAATCTATCAATTTCTTAATATTCATCGGTTCTTTTACAACTGTCATTACATCCATGATGATATTCTCGACAGTTTGTTTTGGAATCACCAGTCTTTTTATCTTTGATTCCTAAAAAATCATCATGCATTGAAATAAATTTCAAAAAAAGATTGGATTCGTCTTTACTGAACATCGTGTTGGCAAATTTGAAACGATTACAAATTTAAAAAACGATTACGATTATAAATTCAAAAAAGTCGAAATGATTACAAATTTATCCATCGTCTGGACTATATTTTTCAAAGCATATGAGCGAAAAGCGTCTTCAATATATGCAATTTCATCGAGCGATAATTCATTAACAAATCCATTTTCCAGAATTGTTGGAAATATTGCTGCGCAAAGTTCACTCAAACTTTTATACAGTTCCATAGATGACAGATAACGAGCCAAAGCAAAAAGCTCCCGCAAATTCGATATTTCAACTGCAAGTGTCAATTTTGTCGGCAAAAACGTGCACGTGCGATTCTGTACTAATTTTTCAAATATATTAAAATACACAGTTATTCACTCATAGACACTTTCGAAATCTTATCATAATGCAGTAAAATGTAATCTGGGCTTACATGGTGGTCTGAACAATTCTTTTGTGATTGCATTCGAGAAGCCTTTGCATATCAGCTTGTCCGCAAATATTAATAACTCTATTAACTGCAATAATTATAAAGGAAAAAAAAAATCTCCACAAAAAAAAAATTCCATAATCACATTGTCATCGTAGACAACCAATGCATGATTAGGAGTAATGTGGTTTGAGATATCTGGCCTAGCGTATGAATAAGTTGCTTAGCAAATGTTTTTACTGTGAAGGCAAGGGAGAGGGCAGAGAAAAAAAGCCAGCTAGTTGTAAACCGACATTAAACCGTTTATACCCACTTCAACAAAGCAGCAAGCATACCGGAATGTGAGTTACGAGTTGTTACAACTTTTTCGAATCTCCCAGTTCTGGGCTGAGTTGCACGATGACTTATTATATCACAATTTAAAGTTGTTAACGGCTTATTTCAAGCGAATTTAGGCAACTAATGAACATGATAGCACCTTTTTAGTCTAAATGAACTTTCAGATAGGTATTACTCACTAAGTTTCTCTACAGCTGTTTCGCCATAACTATGTTGAGCAGTCAAATTTCAAGAAGGCAGTGATAGGAGCTGGAAAATCTTATACTTGCTCACTTCTTGCATGCTCAAATTTGGACGTAAACAATGGTCGCAACAAAAAGACAGGAACATCTCAAGCATCTCCGGCTTCGCCGTAATTCGAATTTCATTCTTTTGATCCCCTGCCCACCTTTCGAAATATGATAAGCAGACATCGCTCTCATGTTTAAGCATTTCCCTAAAATGATGAAATGAGCTATATTTGACTGATTCATGAACATTTAAATCCTAAATTTCACGATGTCAAGCAATTTTCTTCCATACGTAGCTGAACTGCATCATCTGAAACTCATTGCTGACTACTAGTTTGAATGTACTGTACCAATAAACATGAGCAAGTAGGAGATAAAATATCGATAGCTGTGAATTTTAACAGTCACGTGCTGATGTAGCCTTGGGAAGTAATTCCTGTGTTATAAATAAAATGGTTTTGAAAAAAGTCGAAACTCAATGAAACAAGATGAAATAATGAAAACCTACAAAGAAGTTTCATAGCGTCCCAATTCATCACCGTTTTCATCCACACATATGACTACAGCTGTATTGAAACTTGGAAGCTGCAAGAATATTTAATTCAAATTTACCATTCTAACAACTCTACAGTTCTCACCATGAGAAAGGCGTACCGATATAGACGGTAGTTACATTCCACCATAATTCTGACGGAAGATCTAACAAGACTCCATTAAAAGCTTCCTTCATTCCCACTTTAAAATAAATATTTGGCGAAATTACAATTAATGTTTTGACAGTTATTAAATAATCATGTTAAAAATTGATAGCATTTACCATTTCAAAAAGTCTACCAATCATAATCAATCATAACCAATGACAATACGTCCACCACAATTAGTGTAAGCATTGCAGTGAGGATGATAGTAAACAAATCTGGCTCATCATAATTTTACTGCTGAAAACTGCCTCGACGAATTCTCAAGATTGATCCGCATATTCAGAGAATATAGAGAACCTACTCCATGTATGATTAATTCCCAGAAACAAAAAACCAGAAACATTTAACTAACTTCTACTTCAGATACATCTTCCGTATAATGAAGAACTGATCGTGGATCGATCTCCAGCAGATTTAATACTTTGTTTCTTCCATCCGGTGTTATAAAAGCACTTTTTGCACGCAAAATCCCACGCAATCGATTTACCTGTACCTTTACCATGTGATCATTAGTTGTCCACAAACAAGCTAGAAATGCAACCACTTATAGTATTTCCACGATCAAAATAATTAAAAAAAAAAAGAAAAAAAAACGGTGCATAAAGTAGGAATGATATAGCGTAAAAATAGGGATGATGGAAGAATAGGATTTCCAATGTTTTCGATTAGTGTTTCGATTGCACAATGATAACAAAAACTTAGGCACCAGTGACGAGCTCTATTTGATTGGTTTACTTTCCGACCAGAACTCCAAGACAAGAGTTCTTATACTTCGTCTTTCTACTAGTTTCTCGAAAATACTTAAACTGCCTAATTACGCCAAAACTATTAAAACGCATACCGCCGTCACTGTTGCAGAAATATGCGTCCGAACAAAGCGTATAATTTGCCAAATTTCCCTCGTAAACATCGCCCATCTTAAAAGCAGTAATTCAAAATCAGAGAAATTATGATATTAATATTTTAAACCTCTGCAGACTTCTAATAGTAGAGTTCTCGAAACAAATTTTGCTGCAGATTTTTTTTTCCGGTCTTTTGATATGAGTGCGAAAACCTACGTAGTCAACAATAATTATCTGTCCATCTCGAGTAACATCTGCACTTGCCACCTCAATTATGCTTCTTTTCATTAAAGTGCTATAGAAGTATACGGGTCGAAGTAGACTATGACATTCTGAATCGAATATGAATATTCCTGATGTTATCGCATGATGACGGTTTTCATAAAAATACTTGAAACCAAAAAATACAGCACCCTACAATAAGAACCAACTGAAGAAGAGTTATGATTTACAGTGTGAGGTTAAATTTCTAACGCTTTAGTTTTGAAACGTTTTAGACAAGCATGAAAGACAATGCAGTTTTAAGGTATTCACATTTGGGCGGCGAAATGGATGCCTGATAATCACCTAGTTTTAGAACAACTTCGTTATTATGCAATAAAATCGGAACTGTTATGTTCGGATTTTTAACATTTCGATGAAGTACAAGAGGAAAATGAAGACTGCGAAAATAAGTGAAAAAAAAAGCATACCAACTTTGGGGTATAATAAATTCCAACGCATCGAGTAATATGTATAGAACTAGTGATGTAATAGTTTTTACTATCAACATTGATCGTTATCTAAAAGGTAAAGACAAGGCTCTCAAACACCGCTAATAACACAAAACGTTGGTAACAAAAACATGTTGATAACACCAGATATAAAAGTATTGAATATAAAGTGTTGATAACACCCACCGAAAAATTAGGTATTACTTTTCTTTACCGGCCAGAAGTTACCTTCGATGAGTCCTCCTTAGAGTAGATACGCACCACAGATGAATCTGTGACTGAAATAGATGATGTTCGGTGAGCGTAATTATTTCGAACATGTTTAAATGTATTGCCTGAATATCTCTGCCATAAAAAACCATTCGACGTCCCAGTGACGTAGAAATCGAACTGAAAATAGCAAAACAATCATATGAATATTTTAAATTTCAATAATTCCTGCATATTGCTTCCATCAAATGCAATTTTTTTTCCGAGTCAAAATTGCATAGAAAGTATAGACAATATTCACAGAAGAAAACAAACATTACTCATGACGATCACCGAGCATGATTCAGCTGTTGAACAGTTAATGATGTAAAATGGATGTTCTTTAAAAAATTTAGCGACTGTTGGAGTTAAAACAAGCTGTTTTGTTCCCATCCCTAGTTGTCCTTTATCGTTCAGTCCGAATACTACAACCTGAAAAGCATTAGTAGGATTACATTTAGTGTCTATGGACGAATGCAGAATCCGTCCTAATGAGATCTTTGAAAGCGGTACCAAGAATGGCCATAACATTTCATCAAAGACATTTGTTACACTTGCCTTTTTACGAATACAATTTGCTCATAAAAAGGAAGTAAACATTTACATATCTTAACAAAAACTCGGAAGAGCGGTAAGGAAGAGGGTAAGAAGAGGAACTGAAAAGTGACCAACTATTAATAAAAAAAAAGTGGTATAAAAAACTTGTCACTAGGATAACCTTTTCATGAGTACATATGATGGAATGTGTCAGTCCAGCACAGACACAAACAACTGGCTCCAAAAATTTTATTCGCCGTATTTTCAATTGATCTTTTTCGTCTCCATGACCCAATTTGCCATATCTTCCTAAACCACATGAATATGCTTGTCCATCAATCAAGTAAATGGTATGATATTTCCCAAAAGCAACCTGAAAATTGGTACTAGCTAATAAGTGCTGCAAATCTTTTCTACCAATGAAGGAGAAATGGCAATTCAACTTGTTTTCAAAAGAACGAGGTCTATCTTTTTGCTTCACTGTGATGCAAGACATAGCCTGATTTAACGCCAAGAGAAATTCTGCACATCAGTTATTGAATAAATACAATTTGGCAAAAGATCTTCGACAGAAAAAACACTGAAAAAGGTATAAGCACCTGTGTAACTTCTTTTCCAAAGCTGAGCTCATCAAAAAACTGCACAGGAACAGGATATTTGGTATGCTTTCCATATATAATACCCAAAGACAGAGTATTGTTGTCACCACAAGCATAAATTCGTGCTATAAAGAACCGTGAATAAAACCCTTCACGGTAACGCAGTTTGGAATGAAAAATAAATCGAAATGGCAAATAAATATGCAGAAATCATAACATCCAGATCACTTCAGAATTGTGCGATGATTTTGATATTAACTTGGTAAGATGACACGTATTTATCCACCTAAACTCGACAGCTAAAACCTGCAATTGCTTTTTCGGTTTATTTGAAAGCTTCTTCTATGAATATCTCAGCGTGCCACCCTCATCCAAATCAAACTTCCATGCCTTTCTGTGTTAGACAGAAAAGTTACATAAGCAGGGTAATTTCTCGCTTTCCTCGCGCTTTGCAAAACTTTTAAGAAATTCGTATGCATTAAATCCTCCAATGCAGCAATAAATACTAATATCGACATTGCGATAAAGTACAGCCAATGCTCGCAGATGTCCTTTCATTGCGGCAAACTGTGCGGGTGATCCATCCAAAGTCTGGAAAAGTTGTCATTAAATAATCATGGACGAAATGACTTAGAAAATATGACTATTTTACCATGGCTTCTTCATAATCGAATACTTCGAGCAGAATTTCAAGAATCTCCACAGAATCATAGTAGGCAGCTAAGTGAAGGCTTGAAGGTGGCCAAAGTGCTTTATCTGTTTTACACACTGCTTGGACACAGACCATAGCAATGGCCCGCACTTGAAGAGCTAGTTCATCCGAAACACAACCAAATTTGCTCAAGTCTGCTAAAAAATATGTGAATTAGAATGACCTAAAAGATGAAACCGACATTAAAATCTCTATGCCGAAATTAAAATTTTAATAATTTCTTTGGAAATCGTTTACTCTATAGTGATATTAAGCACTCTAAAAACCTATTATAAATATTACTTGATTAGACCACTTGATTTGAACCAATTTTTGCAAAATTTAAAATGTAAAAGCAAGCCAACTCTTCATGCTCTATCATCTTCTACTATTAAAAATTAGATATCCAATAAGCAAGTAAAAAAAAGTAAAATATACATTCATGTCTAGGGAAACAAAGATCAAATGATACAAAATCAAACTAAATCTTACCTTGAATAAGCCCATGCAAACATCCCGACATGAACCTATCGTCGAAACGCAATTTCTGGAATTAAAATACCTCGGTTTAGTTTATTTATAATGAAGGAATATCTTGATACAGTAGATCCCGCATTTCTCTTTCGAATAGATGATATGGTTGCGTGGTTCATTATTCCACCACGCAACATATGCACAATCATGTTCCCTTTGTCTTCCATAAAATTATGCTTTAGCTCCTCCCCTTACGTTACCTCTCCCTACGTTAATACACTTTTTGAAACGTTAGTTTAGTAGAAATTTCTACTGCAACTGCTCGTGGCTGGAGGTTGTGACGAAGAGTTACCCAACAAATGTGTAGATCAAACCATTAAGCTTATACTGCAGTGAGGAAAAAATACGTGTGAAGGCGATTTATTGGTGACATACCGGATATTTTCTAGCGATAGTTTTCCATATAACATCCATCAGTAATAAAAACCACAAATAATTTCTCCCACAATAAGCTTTACTAATAGAAGCGTAGTAATCTAGAAAGCACATAAACAGAAATATCGTTCAAAATAATTTCAAATTGCCGGCAATTACGTGAAAACAAATCTTGCTTAGTTCTTCCGAAAGCAACGGTAATACAGTCCGACGGGTCTTAACTGTTGGTCGAAAATACGGCAACAGTAAATGCAAAACCTTTGGCTTATCTCCGAATAATCCTCATTACAATCATCCAATTCACTCTTGGTACCTTTTTCTTTCCCCGCCGAACAAGTCAAAAGCGTGGCCGCACGCACGCACATCATACATACTTGCAAACTAAAGTCACTCAGAAACTGTAGTCACGCACGGTCTCGCCTTAACTGGGTCGATGTGAACTAAACAATCCCGTTACGCAGATAATGTTTGGGAAGTTCGAATTTGCCATCTTCGCAGTCTGGCGATTGCAGTTATCGATTAGTGACATGGAAGATAGCATGGGTTTTGGCGAGTCCACTGCTTTCTTTTAATTGTGCACGACGAGGTTTGTTTTGTTTAGATTCATTCTGCGTTAAATTTCATTTCACTTCCTGTCCCTCAGCACTCTCTGAGTGGTAGCCACTACTGTCTCTCGTGATATCTCGTACCTTTTACTCCCCTATTTTTTTGTCAAAATCTTCAGGCTCTTCTTGCTACTTTCCGAAATCAAGTGGAAATTTACGGATGCATAGAAAGTATCTGATGGAGATGTTAGCGTATAATGCGTTACTTATGGAAGATAGTTACTTCACTACGGATAGAGGTTGTCGTATCGTCATCAAAATCAACTGCTCTCCTTCACTTTTTATTTATGCGTCCATGGCAACAGTTACTGCTTCGGTTTTTAATTGCGAATTTTTACTTTACGGAGGATTAACATTCCCGAAATGCACAAGGGAGTGTAAGAATATGCAATTTTTTTAATGATGATGACGTTTACTGCAATAACGCTGGTGATTCGTTAGTTTTCATTTTAATCTGATCAGTTTTCCAGGAAGGTTATGCATGCATTTGAAGATTATGATGACAGTTTGCCTAATCCAGATACTTTTTTGCACTCGTTACCACCATATAACTACGCAGATTTCTTTCAAGAATATCCCGAAATGTGTGTTATCATAACAGCATTTTGTGCTATTGCAATTTCGATGTATTTCTGGGGATTGTTCCGGGTACGGCGGGACGGTATGCTACTCTTGATATTTCTGTCCCACTGCTTTTTCTTAAATTTTGTTTTTCAACATCACCCCATCCTGGGTGCAGTATCATCACTGTTTGATAACGACCGATAAATTTCGAGGCAGTGATTCTCGAGGTGGTATAAATTTCAGAATTGTGGAAAGTTTTTCATTGGTAGCGAGGGATAAGGTACTTGGCGAAAATGCTACCACAACGAATTAGGCCTCTTGTAAGCCAGGGAACTAAAGCTATATTTTGAATAATAAAGGTTAGAACCTTCCCAGTTCAATTTATGTGCTGCCTAACACTTACAAAGAAAGTATGTTCTTAAACACGGTTTATTTCAGAACTTGATAGCATACTACTTAATGGTCGGTTCTGCTCTTCAGTTCTAAGCAAGGTTCAGCAGAGAATTACAGACAAAAACACAGATGCAGCGGAGAAAGTAGACTTTTTATTGTAATTTGCCATATTTATGTAATAATTTAGGTTACTGAAAAAAATCACTTGGCATTAACTGCGGTCGGGTAGTCATTTTCTAAAATGAGTTTTTGTTTTTTTATTACGGACTATTGGGAATGACAAAGAAACTGCGAAATCCAAGTTACAACGTCTTTTTTTGGATGAATTTTTCATAAATCTTATTGCTATTTCCAAATATATTGCAATTATGGCATAGTATTTAGTGCGTCATATTTACTGGAATTTGATTGGCGCTCTTTGATGTGTTAGTATTCTCAAATTTTAGAGTAACACAGTATTTGTTCAAGAACATGAAATAATACATTCCAGCCTTTATGTTGCGCCGAATCCTTCAAGTCTAGAACATGCAATAATTCCCATAACGACGAACCGAATGAAATAGTTGCCTCGCTTAACGAATTATATGGAAAATTAGCAACAGCGAAGTTACGAGCCAAAACTAAGAAAATGGAAAAAACTATGACTGAGGAAGAACGAAGAGAGGTACTTTTAATTTGTGCCAAGAATTCCAGAATTTCGGAAAAACTGCAAAATTTCTAGAGCAGTAAATGAACGTAAGATAAACGTAGAAGTCTTTATGCAAATAAAAGTTTTCTCTCGTTGTTTGCTGATTATGGTGGACTCTTCTTTTACTATAGTTTCGAGATTCAAAAATTTTAAGAAAAAATCGTTTTTAAATTTTACCTTCAAAATTTACAGGAACGATTAATACAGCAAAAACAACTGGAGTCGATATGCGAAATGATCATGCAAGAGCCAGAAAAGTTTGGTTTGCATGATAAATCAGAAATCACGGAGCAAATGAAATTATATTCAGTTTGAACAGTGATCGTCTGGTCTGTTGGCTTTCCGTTTTCGAGATGGCTTCTTGATGAGAAATCTGATTCTTTGATTCTTTTATCTCTCTCTTTTCGTTCTATTCGAGGTTTTTTTTATTCCTATTTCTCATTTTTTTCTTCTGTTTTTCTTGAATTCAAACCCCAAACTTTTCACTAGACAATCTGTTTGATATATTTATGGGTAAATATTTCAGAATTAATGAGGCAAACAAAAATTACTGTCTGCTGATTACGAGTTACTGCTTCCTCTGGATGATTAGTGGCTTTAGGTTGCTTTAAGATTATAAATTTAACATGTCATTCGTTCTGTATTGCTGAACATACGAATCATCGAAATATTGATTAGACTATTGTGGTACTGAATGTACAGTAACAATGCATTTTACTTTGCTAATCTTAATACATTGCTCTGATAGCAACCATTGTACTATGAATAATTTTGAAAAATATATGGGTAGAAAATAGTGTGAAAGTTAGAAGAGCCATGGTTTCTTGACAATAATTTAATAACTGAATGTTCTTTTTAAGTATGTAGGATTGCATAAATTCAGCTATGGTCAATATCCAATGAAATCAGTGGTTCTTGGGCACAGTCGTACTTCGAACAAAATATAGAAAACCTTCCGCATACTTTGCTGCAATCTCGTACTTCCTTGAAGAAATTCAAAATAGAAATCCGGGTTTCCACCACATTCATTTCGCCTCTTATTTGTACCAATGTGTAATAACTTCTCTACTTTTTAGATTTCAAATGTCAGTCAAACAAGATTTTGAAAGGTAGATAACTGGAGGGAGTTTGGTAGGTTTGAAGAATAACTTTGCCATGTAATTAGTGGGTTTCCTTTTTATCATTTTTTAGTATGGATCACGTTTTTATTTAACAACAATTGTTACGATTGTTGTTGTTGAAAATTTATTTCAACTTTCGGGCTGGATAAGAGTATAAATCTGACACGTATCCTCGGTTTAATTCTCTTATTAGGCGAATGCTCGATGTACTGAGCATTGTTTTACAAAATTTTCAACTTTCCGACGTCCAATACTGTTTTTCGGAAGAGGAAGTGTATATATCTGTAGGCACAAGGAATTTCTTGATACTTTTCAAAAATTGATTAGGGAATACTAGAAGGAGAAGAGATGGATAAATTGTTGGTAACATATACTATTATGAGGTTTTGTGTTAGTTTTTACCACTGGAAAGATTTAAAGAAATGCATCAAGTTTCTGCTTTTTCTTTTCTCAAAAAGGATTGATTGGCTATTACCAAGTAGGAGAAGAATGGCAGTTCGATTTTGTTATGAAAATTGTTCATATCCTTTTTAAAAACGCGGGAACGGTTCGTATGATAGGTTCAAAATCTCATGGTTTAACAATATTTCTTATGAATGCTTCTGATTCGATTTGACAAACAATACGCTGCTACACATCAACGAATTAGAGTGGATTAGATGGAAACAAGGAAAACATAAAAATTTAGTTTGGAAAAATTCTTGAAAATTACTTGAGAGAGTGTAACAAATCGTTTTAGATTGATGCTTGTGATAATGGATTACTGCTGAAAAAAAGTGGTAAATTTATGTACTGTTGCCCAGTGGTGTCGTACTCGTTCTTTGTATGTAACTGCGTGTTCATTCAGGAATTAATTTCATTTTTGTTATTAAAATGCTCATCTGTGAAGTCAACAGCGACGATTCGTAAGCAGTTCGGACCGTATCTTTTCCAATTTTTGTTTATATCTTCTACTCATGAAATCGTTTCAATTTCTTTGTTATTTATTACTTGTCAAACTAATCATACCCATCCTTCCTGGTACAAGTGGAAGTATAAATCTGCGTAGCCAGCAATATAGAAAGTACTTGTCTGTGTATTCCATCTTGCTCCAATTAATGAGTTATTTAGCTTATTTTTCGCTAAATTGGTCAAATTGCTAGCTAGTACCAGTAATCAATATTATCACTTATTGTTGCTTGAGGTATACGTTAAAGACTGATAATGTTTAATATTTTCATTTGTAGCTTAGTACATCGGAGGCAAGTTGAGGAAAATAATATTGTTATTGTGGTTAGCTTGAAAAATATTGGTGGTCTTCGTTTTCCTCAGGCGATGCTTGTCAGAATAATCATCGTGTAATGACTTGTAATCACCGGAAATCATACTCTTTGGGAGACGAAGCAGTTTGAGGAGGAAAAGGTGAATTGGTAGTCGTTGCTTCACGTCATACTGAAAGTATTAAGGAGCTGATCTTGCCTAATGTGTAAAATGTTAATTGTGAACATTGTCGTCAAAAAAGAGTGAAAAGATGAGGGGTATTGTTTTTGTTAATTGTAGAAGTCAAGTTTCAAAGGAATGACTTACAGAGTACCGGTATTGTTATGTGTTCGAAACGTACTGCAGTTTATCCTTTATTATCGTCCGGATACCAAATACAATAGAAACAGGTTCAAAATAATTCCAGTTATAGAATGATGTCCAGAATAATACCAGTATAACAATGGGCGAAATTTGTAAGTAGTAACGTAATGAACTGGGAGAAATATGAAGAGTGTGTTGTGGGAGGCTGAGTGCCGACCGATAGAATTGAATGAATTGATGTTAGAATTTCTTATGGTTTATATAAGGAAATGTGTGAAGAGAAATTTTGTAACAATCATTAGAAATTGACAATAGTCTCACAGCTACAAAAAATTTACATACCAGGCATAAGATTGGTTTTATAGATAAATAGGAAATTACAGGAAATTATTTTGTGAGATGTACAGCTTCCTGAAGCAGTATGCAAGATTTGTGCATAAGATAAGGCTTTTAC